CCTGAGTGCTGAGACTAAAGGCGTGCACCACCACCGCCTGGCAAAGAAACTCTTGTCTGGAAAAACTAAAACCCAAAACCCCCAAAAAATAGCTATCCAAAATCCCAATGATGAAGCTATCCAGAAACACTCCACCACCTTTTGAGTATGTTTACTGGGTCTCCTCTTTGAATTCAGACAGTGCCAAGAACCTAGAAACACTGAGTCTCAGCTCTTGCTGAGAGCTCTCCAGTCTTCATTCACCAGCACCGCATAATGCAAAGCTGTCACATACCCTGAGGCCTCGACCCAGACTGCATCACAGATGTTATACCCACACATCTGTCCAGCGGAGCTGCGTAAAATGCACCTGGCTGTAAGTGTGCTATGATAACCTCGTCTGTTATCCCCAGACTGGTCCTGTGCAGAGCCCACCCTCCTCCTCAATGTGTGAGGGGAAGAGGGCCCATCCTCAGGATTCAGGTTTCTGGCCTCCTGCTCTGGGCAGATAAACCACAGTGAGAGTTCCTGGAGCACTGGGGCTAATCTAAGACACTATCTAACCAGTTTCTGGTGGTGTACGTCTTTGTTCCCAGCATTTGGGAGGCAGAGGCAGACCGATCTCTGTGACTTTGAGGCCAGCCTGGTCTACAAAGTGAGTGCCAGCATAGGTTCCAAAGCTACGCAGAGAAACCCTGTCTCCATAAAAACAACAGCAACAAAAAAGACACTAAAATCACTAGGCTCTAGATGACCCTGTCTGCCTGTTGTGGAATGAGAATAGTGCTGGCCCTGAGAGATGGATGGGTCCTGGCACTGTTAGGAACAGTTGATGAAGTCCTGGTCCTTGCCCATCCACTGGCCCGTCCACCTCTAGTTCCATCTTCCACTCTTCTATGGGGCTGGTTGTATAGACATCCAGTAACAGGTTGGCAGGGCAAAGTCCTAGGCTCTGGGTCCACAGTAGAAGCCAAATATCAGATTTGTGACCTCTTGATGATAGATAGGACAGACCTGAGATCTCAGGAGTCCTGAGGTCTCAGGACCAAATCCCTGAACCTGAGCTGTTGTTCTCCTGCATGGTGGAGGAACTGCCCTGGACCCAGTAATGTTCCTAGCCCTTTGGGACCTAGAGTATTAGGTATGACTTGTTTTCCCTGATGGCCATGCACTGAGCAGAGGAGTTCTCTTCCCACATGGTTCTCAGGTTCTATCTGACTCTTTTCTATGGAAAGTAACCCTCAGTCTGGACTCGCAGCCTGTCAAGTCTTCCTATTGAACCACCACCCAACTCCCATGGCCCCTTTCTGCATGTATCCATGGGAAGGAAAGGCATCCCTCACACTGGAAGACTGTCACCAGCTTTGAGTCAAGTATTCCAACACAATTAACATTTTCTGAATACTGTTCTCCTTTTCCAACTGTATTTTCAGTTTTAGTTTTTCAAGACAGGGTTTCTTTCTGTAACCTTGGCTGTCCTGGAACTCACTCTTGTAGATCAGGCTGGCCTTGAACTCACATAGATCTGCCTCTGCCTCCACAGTGCTGGGATTAAAGGAGTGCACCACCATCCCCCAGCTTCTCCTTTTCCAACTGTAAACCTACCATTTTCTAGGGAATCTTACCAGAAACCCTCTGTGCAAGCCTAATGGCTCCTGGTTTTACTTTGTCAGCACATGGTCCCCCAAAGTACCCCACAGTCACTGTATAGCCTCAGTGATTGAATGGGGACTAGAGGGAAGAATCCCTTAGAAACCTGTTAAACCATTGAGATTCCAAAAGCTTCCAAAATCCTACACACAATCACCATTAAAAGACTTAGCAGTGACTCTTGAGGAGCTCATACACCTACTCTTGAGCATGCTTTATAAATTCCAGCTTCTTCTTACTGACTTGTGAAACTCTTCTGTGTCAAGGTCATGCTGAGATCTCTAAAATATTAAGGGAACTGCCCTGACTTGCAGGCCTCAGATGCTGTCTTCCCAGATGCTCCTCTTTACTTCCTATTAAAAACCACACTTCCTGTAAAAAGCCAGGCCTTCCCTTGCTGAAGTCACACAGTGCCTTCCCAGTAGCACCTTCTACCCTAGGGCTCACCATGCTACTCCTGGGATTCTGGGATACATTCAAGTTATCCTGGTGGTTAGGGAAGCAAATAGCTATTGGATAGGACCAAGTCCCACAGGCATTGGAAGCTGAGGCCGACTCCCAAGGGCCAGGCTTGGGTAAGCGGCAAGGGGTAGGTACCCTTTAGAAGGAACTCCTGGGATGCAGTGTAATGTGTTAGAAGAGCGCCAGGGTAAGCAGCATCACCTCCAGGTGAAGGGGAAATATAGGAGCTGCGACCCCTGCAGAACTTACTGTCATTTGGTCCTCCCTACTAGTGTTCAAAACCATGAGGGGCATTCTTGAATCCCCACCTACTCCAGGTGCCTGTATATACACCTGAGTGTTGTGTGGGACAAGAAAAGAGTGAAGGCTACCAAGTCCATAGCAGTACACCACTAGTTGTATGCAGGTCACACAAGGAGACTGAAGTCATATCCGAGAGGCCACCATGGAACGAGGTCACAGCTTATCTCGGCTAGAGGTTTCTTTTCCCTTGAGGTAAGGGACTCTGGGTGTCTTTCACTCTTGAAGCCTCCTCTGCTCAGGGTTCTCCACCCTTCCTGGGTACCCTGAGGCATGGTGTCAGGCTTGGATGGTACTCAGAATCCCTTTGCTGAAGCAGCCAAAACCCTACAGAGGGTACTAGTCAGTTGCTGCCCATAGCAGGAGACCAGAAGCCTACCAAGGTAAGGACGCTCTGCTCTCCTCAGACAGGAAGGGTGCACGTGAGCTCGGTACAGAACCACAGAACAGAGTCACAGCCAGAAGTGTCACCGTGCATACTTTATTGGATCCACTGTGGACAGATATATATGAAAGTAACATTTGCATATGCGTAGGGTAAACAAAGGGTGAAGGCCTCAGCCTGGGGCGGGCAGCCATGGACTGTGGAGCACAGGGCAGGACTAGAACCCAGAATGTGGCACTCTTTGTGAAAAGGCTTGAATGACTGCCACAGAGGTGGTGGAGACAATAATGATGCAGATAATGACCATGAGGACACTGAAGATCAGGGAACTGATGTTGAGGCACTTGGCAGTGGAGGCGTAGGCCTGGGCTCCAATCACATCGCCCACCATCTTCCTGTCCCTGGACTGAAGAAGACCAAATGGTAAGGGGCCCTGACGCAGGCCAGCTGAAAGTCAGGTGCTCTGACTCAGTTCCGCTATGTCCTCCCTGCTCACTGCAGCCTCACTCCCTTAGGCCAGGGACCCTCCTCTCTTTTACACACACACACACACACACACACACACACACACACACTCAAACTATACAGGAGGCTCCAGCATGGGCCACACACAACACTTTCCACACAGCTTAGGGCCCCAGTATTCAGGGTGAAGGGACATTCCAGGAATGGGGCGGGGAAAAGTCTGGCCCCAGAAACTCCAAGCAGCCTCATCCCATCAGACTATTGGAAAGTCTCCAAGGCAGACGGATACACAGACAGACAGACAGACAGACAGACAGACAGACAGACAGACAGACAGACAGACAGACAGACACACACAGGAAGGGTGCACACGAACTTACTCTCTTACATGAAGGACAGTCCCCCCCTCCACCCCCCAGGTGCCATCTGAGTAAATGAGCTTCGGGCTCCCACACACCTTCTTACACTGTCACTCCCACCTCCGCCACACTCACCTTCACAGAGTAGGCATAGGCAATGAAACCCAAGCAGCAGAAATTCAAGAAGAGCGTATTGAACAGGGACCAGACCACATGGTCAGGCACAGCAACGTCTCTGGGCATGTTGATCACGGTGGTTCTCACAACAGCTGAGTTGTGGGGTTCCCCCAGCTCGGTCACCCCGTACTCCTCTTTGATTGTCTCATAACTTGGGGGAAGTCCGGCATTGTTGGTGTAGAAGGCTTGGGAATTATGGCTCATGGTACTGACTCGAACAATCACCCCTTCTGGAGGATGGCTGCTGCTACCCTGGCTCTGTAGGCCCTCCCTTTCTCTGGCAGCTTCCTTTTCCTGTTGGTGGGATCGGCTCTAGAAAGCCTTACTGTAGAGAATTGGCTGGGTTCTGAAGGGGGCGGCACTAAAACCTTGAGGATCAAATTACTTCAGGGCTGGATGGCGGTTAAGGTGCAGAGACAGACAAGCTTCCTGGGGCCAAGAGTTGTCTCAGGGCCAAAACTTGCCTCAAGGTCTCCACCTCCTGCTTAGAAAAGGAGTACTGGAACTTTCCCCAGGTCTGCAAATCTCCCCAACCCAGAATAATAGTTGCAGCAGCTCTCTGCGCTTGTTCAGAGCCACAGCCAAACCAAACCCAAACAGCCCTCCACTCTCACATCCCTTGAACAACCCTAAATCCGGCCTCACAGTGAGGACCTCTAATGAAATCCATGCCTCCCCCGCCCCCGAGATATGAGGCAACTCAGTTTTTCTTGGGCGGTCAGTGGAGGAGGGAGGAGCCTTCCAGCCCAGGGCCTGGCTGCTCCTGGCTAGCTGAAGAAGGAAAATTCCAGTCACTTGGCTGCAGCCTGGGAACTTATGGAAGGCAGATGTTTTCTTGCATGTTATGAAACAGCCATTGCAGAAGTAAAATCTGTAGAAGAATGGCCACACAGGGAACTCCATGTCTGTCCTGGAAGAAGCAATGAGGGAGATGGTGACTGCTAGAACAAGGAAAGTTCCTTTGCGCTCAAGGACATAACAAATCAGTTGCCACTTTAACCTGTTCGGTAACTTCTCATTTGTTCCCCAAGTTTCATCCTGCGGGGCAGGATGGATAAAGGAGGGGGTCAATAAACCTAACTCCAGAGCCCCTGTTCACCTCTGAATGTGCAACCTTCACCATCAGAGCCTCAAAAGCTGGAGCAGGGCACATCTGTAATCTCAGCACTGGAGAGATGTAAGCAAGAGGAACCGTTCAAGGTCATCCTCAACTACTCAGTAAGTGTGAAACCAGCCTGGGCTACATGAAATCTTACCTCAAATAAATAAATAAACAGTAAGTAAAATTTTAAAAAATGAACAAAAAGGGGATTTAATGTTTCTTCTAAAAGATGTGCAATGACCAACAGGCTCCAAATTCTTGGTATCAAGAAAATGCAGGTCAAGGCAGAGGCAGGTGGATCTCTGTGAGTTCAAGGCCAGCCTGGTCTACAGATCAAGTTCCAGGGCAGCCAGAGCTACAGAGAAACCTTGTCTCACCGCCCTCACCCCCCAAAAAAGAAAAAAAAATGCAGTTCAAAGCCCTGATGGCACATTGCTCATACCCATTGGGTATTCTAGGGAAAAGCAGATAGCCATTGTGTTTTAGAAGCAAAGAAAGCAGAACTGTGATGCTGTGGACATTGCAGGAAGTGGGGAGATCTCAGCTACAACCCAGGATCCCACTTCTGTGTCTGTCAGAGCGAAACATGTCTATGTGTAGCATGTACTTACATCTCACGCCCACAGCAACTTTCATAATGACAGGCAACAAATAGAAACAAAGTAAATGTCTATCAACTGACAAATGGAACAAATGGGCAAATCCAGAAAATAGTCGTTAGGCCACAAAAAGGAAAGAAAGCCTTGATATATGCTAAGACATGGGTGAGCCTTGCAAACAGTACTTAGGAGGACAGAAATAGGTGAGTGGTTCGCAGCGACTAGAGGGGAAAGAGAATGGGGTAAGGTGTCTTTGGGTTTTTTGTTCTTTGTGTGTGTGTGTGTGTGTGTGTGTGTGTGTGTGTGTGTGTGAGAGAGAGAGAGAGAGAGAGAGAGAGAGAGGGTAATTTCTAAGGCTTAGCTCTGGTTCCCAGTGAGTCCTGTGTATGTCCTCTTTCATGTCTCTGACTGTGGTGCTTTGAATGAAAATGGCCCCCATCGGCTCGTATCTTTGGATGCTTGGTCTCCAGTTAATGGAACTGTTTGGGATGGATTCAAGGGTGTGGCCTTGTTGGAAAAGGTATGTCACTGGGGATCAGCTTTGTGATTTCAAAAGCCCATGCCAGGCCCCTGTCCTCTCTCTCTCTCTCTCTCTCTCTCTCTCTCTCTCTCTCTCTCTCCCCTGCCTGTGGATCAGGATATAAAGCTCTCAATGCCAAGTCTGTCTTCTTCCTGACATGATGATCATGGACTAACTCTCTGGAACTGTAAGCAAACCCCAATTAAATGTTTTCCTTTATAAGAGTTGCTGTGGTCAGGGCTGGAGAGATGGCTCAGCAGTTAATAGCACTGACTGTTCTTCCAGAGGACCTAGGTTCAGTTTCCAGCATCCACATGGAAGCTTTTAACTGCCTGTAACTCTACCTCCAGGGGATCAGACACCATCACTCAGACATACATGCAGGCAAAATACCAATGCACATTTAAAAAAGTAAATGAATCATTAAAAAAAAGAGAGAGAGTTGTTGTGGTCATGGTGTCTCTTCACAACAATGAGACAGTAACTAAGACACTGATCTTTTCCAAATGCAATCCAAACTAGCCTAATTTAGCCAGGATCTCTCCCACCTTCATTAAGGAATCCAAAAGTCTCTGTGTGGCATTTCACCTAACCTAGAAAAGTATCCATATCATTCTAACCTTTAGGGAAAGTTCTACATCTGGATCTTAGCACATCCCTGAACTAGTGAGGCTCACACGCAGAATTCAGTTACAGCCAGGTTAGCTTCCATTGCTGGACCTGAAGGAGAATTCTGCAGGACAAATCAGGACACTTACAGGAAAGATGGGGGAAGGACCCACCAGAACTATATATAACCTTTTTGTTAGAGATAATATCTCTCACAGTGAGGTAATCAAATAGAAGGGATAAAAACCCCATAACTATGATAAGTTGCAAAAGATAATAATAGATGGCTTCTGAGAACCCTGATATGTTTTTAGCTGAACCCATGGGCAAATTTGTAAACATGGATATTGAGAGTCAGAAAGGCCAAGCTGTCCTGGTTGTACATTTTATAAGACAAGCCTCTCCAGATAGTGGACAAAAACTGGACCAAGAGTTACAATTCCATTTTGCACTTTTTTTTGGGGGGGAGGAGGTTAGTTTTTTCAAGACAGGGTTTCTCTATGGCTTTGGAGGCTGTCCTGGAACTCGTTTTGTAGACCATACCAGTCTCGAACTCACAGAGATGCTCCTGCCTCTGCCTCCCAAGTGCTGGGATTAAAGGCATGTGCCACCACTGCCCAGGCCATTCTGCACTTTAAACTCTCAACTTGGGGGCCTTCCACTGGGCTCAGAAAACAGAATCAACCAGTACCAACCTTCAGAGATAAGTGTAAAATTTTACCCGACTTTTAATCCTACTGCCTCTGCCAGAGCTCAACACCAAGGATCCCCTACAACACGTCCATGTACCTGCAATGCTAGGTCAGACCTATACGATGCCACGGTTTCCCAGCCTGAGGCAGCGTGGTTCACAGGTGGTAGCAGTTTTATGGTGGCTGTCCATGTACCTGCAATGCTAGGTCAGACCAGCCTGAGGTCCCAGCCTGAGGCAGCGTGGTTCACAGGTGGTAGCAGTTTTATGGTGGCAGGAAACAAGCTGTCAGGGTATGCTGCAGTGAGACTCAAGTCACAGAATTTGAGCTACTTCCAGGTAATTAATTCCAAATCAGCCCCAAAGCAAAACTTGTCCTGACTAGGGCTGTCCAGCTGGTGGCAGGAGTGACTTAAAATCTGCACAGAGTTGGACTGTGCTTTCCATGTGACCTGTGTCCTTGCAGCTAGCTAGAGCGGACCGGCTGATTTAAGATACCCAGGTGCTGGTCCTTGTAATGGTAAATCTTTCTGCCTGCAGCTGGAGTTCCGCCCACCATGTGGGCGGCCAAAATAACACTCGGAGACTTATAATAGGTACAAATGCTGCTGGTCAATGACTAGGATTTCTTACTGCTAGCTCAGTCTTAATTATCAACCATAACTACTAATCTGTATATTTATAAACTTATCTTATTGAAGACGCTGGCTGCGCACGTCCATTCTTCTTGGGATCACATGGCGGCGACTGTCCTTACTACATTGCTCAGAATCCTCCTCAACTCCTAGTCCCAGCTATCTTGTCCAAGTAGAGCTTTATTCAACAACCAATGAGGTAAACATACACAAAAGGACATTCCCCTCAGCCTGGCGTTGGTGGCTCACGCCTTTAATCCCAGCATTCTGGAGGCAGAGGCAGTTTGATCTCTGTGAGTTTGAGGCCAGCCTAGTCTCCAGAGTGAGTGCCAGGATAGGCTCCAAAGCTATACAGAGAAACCATGTCCCAAAAAAACCAAAACAACAACAACAACAAAAGGACATTCCCCATCAGGTCCTAATAGTCATCACCTTGACTCCAACATAGGCGACTACCATACAATGCAAGACCCATTTTAAAAACATAACCAGGAGTGGGGCTGTGGTGGTGCACACCTTTAATCCCAACACTCTGGAGGCCAAGACAGGTGTATCTATGAGTTCAAGTCCACCTGGTCTACAGAGCAAGTTCCAAGACAGTCAGGACTACAATGAGAAATCCTGTTTTGAAAACCCAAAAAAAACAAACAAAAACAAAAACCCAGAATATTCTGTCCATTTTCTTGGTTGAACAAGTTGAACTGGCAGCGTGTCTAAGGTTCAAGGCTGCTTACCTTCCAACCCCACTCTCCTATGTCCACAATATACTACTCTGAAAACCCCACAGACCTCAGATTAAGACTTTTCAATTGAAAGATTTTATTTTGCTGAGAGAAAAAGTTTTAAAAGATTTTAGTTCACAGAGAGAAAAAGTTTACCACAGGCCTTGGCCATTACAAGGAATTTGGCCCCAACCCCGGGCACATCCTATGGTTTAGACGGGGGCAATCGCCAAGACAACCCTCTTTGGGTCACACCTGGCTGGCCAACAGACAATCAAGGACTTTTCAGGGTACGTTCTGTGGTTTTTCCTTTGTAGAAAAGCAGGTCACACCTGGGTGACCACTCTAACATGAGATCATACTTTGTAATCAATCACTTTGTGCCCTTGCCTTTTTTTCTATCTGCAGTTTTTTCCTATATAAGGAGCTTGCACCCCATGCTGGAGTGTGCAGCTTTCCCGCTATTGCTGACACCCAAATGCGCATTCGTTCAATAAACCCTCTTGCCTTTGCAGCTCTTGGTCTGGTTTCTGAGTCTCGGGCGCTCCTCGGGACCCTGTGCCCCTTAGGGGCCTGGGGTCTTTCACAATCAGCCCAGAGGGTTACTTTCAAAGCACCCCCAAAAGACTGTTGTTCCCTGACTCCTGTTAATATCTGGAGAGGTTTGGTTTACAAAGAAACCAATCACAGGATGTAAATTAAGCCCAGGACAAAGATAGCATAATTAAAGTGGCAAGAAAGAGGTTTTAGGAACTAAGACTTTAAACCTGGTAGAAAAGCTAGCTACCCTGGAGTTGTCCTAGCCAGGTCTATGCTCTATTTTGTTTAAGATACTCTAGAATTTTGATGTTTACACTGAGTTTTGAGAGACTTTTCTCTACGTTTCTGTGCTGGCTAGTTTTTATATCAGTTTGGATTATCTGGAAGAAAGAACCTTAAGGAAATAATTGCCTGGGGTCACATCTGTAAGGCAACTTCCTGATGGATGACTGATATGGAAGGGCCATGGGATTGGCCTGTGGTCACATCTGTAAGGCAACTTCCTGATGGATGACTGATATGGAAGGGCCCAGTTCATTGTGTGTGGTGCCATCCCAGAGAAGGTGGTCCTGGATGGTATAAGGAAGCAGGCTGAACAAGCCAGTAAGCTGCACTTGAAACACTCATACATTACCTTAAGGTGAGACTGTGGAGGTATTTGTTGTGTCCAGCATCAGGACCTCCAAAGACCACCAAGAGAGCAGATCCAATACAAAAGCAAAGAGTCTTTTTTAATTATTCCAGCTTGCTGGGGCTGACCATTCTACACAAAGGCAAGATGGCTATGATCCCAAGAATAAGGTAGGGGATTCTTTTAAGCCTCACTAAGGGGAATGTCTAAGGAAGTTAGGTCATTTTAGATATGATTGGCTTAAGCAAGAACATATTAGTATGTTCTAAATTGGCTGGGGCTAGTCAGGAGCTGGTCAGGGTTACAATTTTCCATTTTGGGGAAGGTCTGGACAAGTTCCAGGCCCTGTCCTTAAACTTTGTGGCTTTTCCTCAGAAACTGCTTGGTCAATCTCTCAGGAAACTGAAGCCTGATCTCTGAGATAAGACTGGGGCAGCCTGTTATGGCATCTGCTGGGTCTTCAGTATTTAACCCAGCAAAGGTAAAGAACACATTTTTTCCAGAGAAATTCACGATAAAGGAACATGAGCAACACAACTATGAACAGGCCCCTGGCACAATGTCACCACCCAGCTTTCTGGGAAAGTTGAATGTTGTCGAGTCTCTAGTGTGTATGACCTCCAAGATCTCTTCAAGGTAATCAATGGTCTTCATTTCAAAACAAATGTACTGAAGTGAGGGTCCACACCTCACACCTTTAATCCCAGCACTTGGGAGGCAGGAGCAGGCAAAGCTCTAAGAAAGAGTTCAAGGTCAACCTGTTCTACCTAGTGTGTTCCAGGACAATCATAACTATATAGAGACCCTGTCTTTTGTCTGATGTTTGAGAAAGGGTTTCTCTGTGTAGCTCTGGTTGTCCTGGAATTCACTCTATAGATAAAACTGGCCTTGGACTCGGAGACCCATCTGCCTCTGCCTTCTAAGTGCTGAGATTAAAGGCATGCACCACCACCATGGGGTTCACAGGTTTCTTTCTTATTGGGGTGCATCCATGGACTGGCCAGTGACTGCCTCCTAAATAGCATTAAAGAGATAAGCCCCAATCCATTTATTCGATCCTTTTTTTTTTTCTTCTCCTTCTACCACGTAGGCTGGGGGTAGAGAAATCAGGTGGTCAGGCTTAGTGGCAAATACCTTTTCATAGTGCTGATGCCATCACCAAGGCTGGTATCAGACTCACAACACTACTCCTGCCTCTGCCTCCCAAGGGCCATTCTCCAAACAGATGCTGTCACGCCCATTAGATTTTATTGGGTCCCTTTTAAAGTAGGTTTACAGAAGAGAGACAATAGGGCAATAAGGATATGCAGAAAAATCTCAAAAAAAAAAAAACCCATTATGTTGTCATCACATGATGGGGGAGTCAGGAAAGGTCAGGGTATCTCAAAAACAAGTCAAGGTCATGGGTTAGGGAAGGTCAGGTTCCAGGGAACAGACTTAAAAACAGCAACTCAGATCTTGTAGTAAATGGAAACTTTTGTTTTTTCCTTTTGGTTTTTCAAGACAGGGTTTCTCTGTAACTTTGGAGGCTGTCCTGGAACTCGCTCTGTAGACCAGGTTGGCCTCAAACTCACAGAGCTCTGCCTGCCTCTGCCTCCCAAGTGCTGGGATTAAAGGTGTGTGCCACCACACCCAGTCTATGGAAACTTATTTTTAACAATACAGCATAATGGCTCCTGCTTTCAAAACAGATTCAGGCATGTTCCTCAGTACGTTTGTCTCTTTTTCAACAAAAAAATGTGTGTGGAAGCTGGGAACCTTTAATCCCAGAACTTCAGAGGTAAAGGCAGGAGGATCTCTGTGAATTCAAGGCCAGCTGGTAGTGGGCATCTTGTTCTGCCAATAGATTTGAGGTACCAGCCTTAGGGTGTGGCTTCAGTGTGGGGATGTGATCCCTTATAAGGAAGAGGAGGGGTCTGGCTCTCTCTCTTTTGTGTCGCACATTGGGCACCAAGTGAGGAAGGGTTATGGAAGTCCTGGAATGCCCAAATAAAACAATAACAAATATTTATTTGGGGAGCACTCACACAATGAAGGTAAATAGCAGCAGTGGTCTTCTACTCCTGGAAGCACAGGATGCTGGGATGCATGATGCTCAGACCACCACCCAAGAGAGAGAGCCAGACCCCTCTTCTTCCTTATAAGGGATCAGGTCCCCACACTGAAGTCACACCCTAAGGCCAGTATCTTAAATCTATTGGTGGAACAAGATTGCCACTACATCAGCCTGGTCTCCAAATGAGTTCCAGGTTTGCTAAACCTTGTCTTGAAAAAAACCAAAAAAGAAAAAAAAAGTATGTGTGGGTTCTTTATATTTTGCATCCTGTTTTATTTATTCATTTAATTTATATATAGACAGGCTCTCACTATGTAGCTCTGGTTGGCCTTAAACTCACAGAGATACACTTGCCTCTGCCTCCTCAGTGCTGGATTTAAAATCATGCCCATCATGCCCAGCTACTGTGTTCATTTTATTTTCATTCATTTTTAAAGATTTGATTTTTATTTTCCGTGTAGCAGTGTTTTGCCTGAGTCTACGCACCACATGTGTTCCTGGTGCTCAGAGGAGGGCGCCAGATTTCCTGGAACCCTTTACAGATGATTCTGAGCTGTCATGTGGGTGCTGGGAATTAACCCTGGTCCTCTTCAAGAACAGCAAGAGCTCTTAATTCCTGAGCCATCTCTCCAGCCCCTAGCTTGTTGAATGCTTATCAGATGTGTGAACTTGCAGGGAAGCCTGTCTGTTAGTAGCTGTCTATTCTAAACTAGATAGTGTGTATGGGTTAGCTCAGTAGAATCAGGATATATTGGGAGAGAATAGCTAGACTAGCAAGCATTAGCTAGTGTTTTCTCTTCATGTGTAGCTGGGCCTAAGATGGCTTGAGGCACCTTTGGAAACGAACCATCAGATTTTTATTTCTAACAGTTTATTAACCCTCCCTAGTTTCCCAGAAGATTGAGGATCTTAGGTAGTGTGGAGATAGAACTTAATTTTAAGACATTCACCCACTCACCGAGCGATACTGGAAACGAAAGCCAGACACTATTGACTGTAGAGACCAGGAGAGCCAAAGGAAGGAAAAGTGTATTCTAGGAAAAAAGGGGTTGTTACCTCAGAGACGTGTTCTGTTTCAGTGGGGATGCCTCTATATACCCAGTGAAGGTGGCCACTAGAACCAGTGGTTTTTGTAATGGATTGACAGGGACTTAGCAAGAGGACCTAAGGACCGAGGACTCCGTAAAGGTAGATTAAGCCTCAGGATGAGTGTGACAGAGTCAGCTATGATGGAGTGGTGCAGCAACAATGGAGATGTTGAAAAGACTGCATTTTTATTTACTCAGAGCTAAAAAAAAAATTAGTTTGGAAATAATAAGGCATGTGTGTGCATATGTGTGTATATGTGCATGCAATGTGTGTGTTGTATGAAGTATGTGTACACATCTACATGTGTGCAGAGGCCTGACGAGGATGTTGGGTGTCTTCTGTCACTCTCTACCTTTCTTATGGGAGATAGGATTTCTTACTGAACTCTGAGTTTGCCATTTTTCATTTAGGCTGTATGGTAATTTGAAAGAAACTGGAGTTGTACTACTGGGAGGTGTGGCCTTACTGGAGTAGGTGTGGTCTTGTTGGAGGAAGTGTGTCACTGTGGAGGCGGGCTTTGAGGTCTTATATATGCCATCTCTCTGGCCTCTCCCATATCTAGCTTTTGACATAGGTGCTGCGGATCTGAACTCATGTCTTCACAATTACGCAGCAAGTGCTCTTACCCACTGAGCCGTCTCCCAGCCGCAGAATACAGCAGCCTGAAAAGGTTGCTATGACAGACAATCAAAGGATTTTCCTGGAAAAGCACAGGTAAGAGTGCCTGAAATCTTTCTTATTGATTTTTAATTTTATGTTCATTGTCGTTTTGCCTGCATGTGTGTCTATGTGAGGGTGTCAGAAGCCCTGGAACTGAAGTTACAGACAGGTGTGAGCTGCCATGTAGATGCTAGGAACTGAACCCAGGTCCTCTGGAAGAGTAGCCAATGCCCTTAACTGCTGAGCCATCTTTTCAGCCCCATAAAAATTTTGAGTTTATAGAAGTTTATAGTTTTGTTTATTTAAAGTTGGTCCTTAATGTTCATTTTTTAAAGACTTTATTCTATTTGTTTATGTTTGTGTATTGCAGGGAGCAGGCAAAAGTGCCTTGGCCTGAGTACTGCCATTTTGATTTCAAACTCCATTTTACCTGCAGGTGAAATAAAGTTCAGGTTCCCAGGCCCTAGGGGAGCTGAGAACTTTCCAGTGGCAGACCAACCTCCTTCCTAAACCATAGAAATAGTCATTATGCATCTTTAGTTCTTTTGAAACATTGTGGCTGTTCCTAGCCACAGAAGGAACAAATGAATCTGATTGGTTGACTGAAAGCATTGTATACTGATGGAACATTCAAGGAAGCCCCAATCTCTAAATTCTGATTGTAACTTGGCCACAAATGTTTATGATTTTTTTAAGCTTAAAACTCTGCTTCTGCCCCTGCGCAGGACTGCCAGAAGAAATGAGGCTCCCCAGCTCTGATCAATCAGTGACCTGACTATGTGCCGAATTATTAAACTCTTGAGAACCAATAAATGTTGTCTCTCTCCTTCCTCGTGGCATATAACAGGTTAGGTTTAACAGTAAATCTGTGTGAATATATCCATATATGTGTATTGGTGTGTGCATAGGTGCCTAAAGACCGAAGTGGGCATCTTCCTCCATCATTCTACCTGTTCCTCTGAAGGAGGGTTTCTCTTGATTGTGGAGCTTGTGTCTCAGCTAGGTTGGAAGCCAGAAAGCCACAGCAATCGTCCTGCCTCAACTCCCTCCCCACAGTGCTGAGATTACAGACATTTATAGGGAATGCCCAGCTTGTTTAATGGGTGCCAGGATCTAAGCTGTGACCTCATGACTGCATAAGAAGTACTCTTAACTCTTGAGCTGTTTCTCCAGCTATTGGTGTCCTTTAGGAAAAGAAATGTTAAGTTTTCCATTGGTTTGCTGTTTCCCAAGGCTCTCTTGTCTTTTACTTTGAATACTTGTTGGAAATTGGATTTTATCCCCACAGGTGAGTACATTTAGTAATTCCTTACAGTTTAACAGTTGTTGGAGCATGTTATAAGACCTGTAAAGCTTTTTAAATTGGCTAAAGATGTTCATATGAATGAACGTCTATACAGGTCATTAGGAATATCAGGTTTCCTAACTGAACAAGTTCATGATGAGACATCTAGGCAGTGACTGATCAATTTTTATATAATATTATCAATTTTTATACTTCCCATCTAGGTGTTTAAAAGACAAGTAGGGGCTGGGATTAGGGGCACACACTTTTGATCCCAATACTCCTGTGAGTTCAAGTTCCAGGACAGCTAGGACTGCATAGCACTGTGGTTCTCAACCTTCCCAGTGCTTAATAACATAGTTTAATGCAGTTCCTTACGTTGGGGTGACCCCCAACTATAAAATTATTTTTGTTGCTTCTTCATAACTGTAATTTTGCTACTGTAATGAATCATAATATAAATATCCTACATGCAGATGGCCTTAAGTGACCCCCATGAAAGGGTAGTTTGACCTCTAAGGGGGTTGTGACCCACAAGTTGAGAGCTGCCGACATAGAGAAACCCTGTCTCAAAAAAATCAGAATAAATAAAGTCAAGCAGGTGGCCAAAACTTACCCTTCTCTCTATTATAGGTAGCTGAGACTCTGTGGCATTATTTACTGCTAGGGACTTGTGCCCTAGGATCCTCCATTTTCCCTCTCCCACTGTGCCAGCTGAAGTGATGGCCAGGATCTTGCTGACTGTGTGGATTTCCTCCAATATATAGGAGACTCTTCCCCCTACTCAGGGACTTTGCAGCAGGTGTGCATGGGTGGGGAGGTTGGGGGGGGGTTCCATGGCCTTTCTGATTGAGAGCACAGATGACTTACCAGACTTCTAGGGCCCTTTTATAGGGGGCCCATTATCCCCTTGGCCCCAGTTGACCTTGGAGGACAAAGTCTTTTTTGTCCCTATATCCTCATTGGCTTTGGCCTGTATGTTTTGTTTGTTGAACACTCAGAAGGAAGGTTTTACCAGTCATAAGGAGAAAATAATACATTTTAGTTTTAACTTTCATATAACAGACAAAGCTTAGATAAAAACAGAAATTTTTAAGCAAGTTCTGGTGTTGTTATTACTCAATTCCACAAGTACTTCAACTTCTGGCAAACTCAGCAGGAAACACAGTTATAATGACACCAAGAACAAATCAATATGCGTATTTTTTTGAGACAGGGTTGCTCTGTGTAGCCCTGGCTGTCCTGGAACTTGCTCTGTAGACCAGGCTGGCCTTGAACTCACAGCCTGCCCACTTTCTCTCAGATGCTGGGATTCAAGGTGTGAGTTGCCACCAACATCAGAAATCAGTATCTTGAAGGATCCCTTTATTTTAAACTGAGAACAAGATTTTTAGTTTTAGACCAGTGCACTGAGTTTTAGTCTTAGTAACTATAAACAAAGAAATCTGGTTATTTTGCTTTAGGAAAACTCTTATTTTATCATACAAAAATTCATCTTAAGCACATTTACAATTTGCTAAAAGAGTTGAATCTAAGTCACATTCATAGTACTCATTTTGTGCTAGACACTGATCTTAATACCTAATAACCATTTGTCTCTGACTCAAGTTCCTAGAAAACAGGTTCCCAGCAATCGTGGCTCTTTGATCCCCACCCAGAAATGTGCAGCCATGACCATCTACTTTGTTACAGTATGACTAACTACTTATTTTGGCTTGCATAACCCACTTATGCAGATATTCAATAACTATTTTTGGGGGGGTGGGAATTTCAAGACAGGGTTTCTCTGTGGCTTTGGAAGCTGTCCTGGAACTAGCTCTTGTAGATCAGGCTGGTCTCGAACTCAGAGATCTGCCTGCCTCTGCCTCCCGAGTGCTGGGGTTAAAGGCGTGTACCATCACTGCCCAGCATTCAGTAACTAATTTAAGGTCACCTGGCTGCCTAATCTTGGCAGAGCAGAACAGCTCTTTGGCTCCCGTCCCTTGCTTGTGCAGATAACAAGAACTTCCTGTGGTTTTCACCTTTAAAAGCCCTGCTTTCACTGGCTTCTGGATTAGAGACTGCGGCCCTGCCAGCAGCTTTAATAAATTTGGCTAATTAAAATCTGAATTGAGTCTGAGGGTTTTTCTTTTCTCGTTGGTCTCAAACTCTATAACAATGGAATAAGTTAATTACCTGTCCACACGTTGTGAAACTGTAAAGTTTTGTCTGTCTCTGGTTCTAGGCAGGCTGTATAGCTGCTTGGATATATATATTCCTTTTATATTTTTCTCTTCTTGGTCCCCCAAAAGTCTAACAGTTACATTCCAGCAAGAGATGGTCAAGATAATAAAGTTTATTATTTACCTCGGATGGTAAACTTAGAATTTAGTGGAATGGCAGAAGGGAAGACGCAATGTGCCAAAAATTCTTGTATGTTAAGTCTGTAATTACAACTTAGAACACAAAAGACATCTGCTCCCCTGAAGAACTGGGATACAACAAACTGCTGCTTTTGCCCAAGGGTCAGAAGGGTAAGAAAAGAGAAAGAGGTGACATGGACAGGAGACTTGCGACTGGGATCAGTGATGGCAGGCTGGAGCAAGGTGAGATACGGGGAAGGGAGCATGTACCTGGGTGATGCTAAGGTCTTCATTAGCCACCTCAGGATGGGGAAGCATGTCCTCTGAGAAAGGACACTGCTTTTACTTGTTCCTTGAGTTACCTAATGGGAATGTCTCGAGCAAGTATGTGTGAGAGAGTGTGTGAATGTGGACAAGGGGGGGGGAGGGAGTAGCTGGGAAGAGTTCTACAAGTGGGGAGGAAGGAGACTGGGAAGAGACAAAAGTCAAAGATGGGGAGGAAGGAACAAAGTTGACAGGTAGAGGGGTGGCTGGTATTAGACAAGGTGGAATGTGTCCAAAGGGAGAGTCATGGACGACGTCATATAGGGCTGAATTTGAGAAGGATAGGTGAGTATCAGAGAATCCAGTAAGGCCTAAATGGCATCCCTATCAAAGATGAGGGTCTGAAGATCAAAATTAGGCCAATTATTGAGAATGCACTCCAGAGGTGAGTTGGGGGGATGGAGGGTAGATCCATGGATGCTCACCTAAGAGGCATCCCTAAAAGGCAGTGGGTACCACCTTCTGGTGCTTTCCGTGGTGAGATATAGTCTCAGTGCATTGGCTTGGCTGAGATGTGCCTTAGACTAGGGTGTTTCCTGAAAATAAGGACTCTATCAGCACACAGAGGTAAAACAATCATCCCAGAGCCTGTTAGGCATCATTGCTCAAAGGGATACTCACAAATCCAAAGTATCACATATCAGTTGTGAGGGAGAAAGTGAAAACCCGGTGACCCATAGTTCTCTCAGGGGAGGAAGTGTGATAGGGATGAGAGGGACATGGCGGGCATAAGTGTCAGTCACATGCTCTGTTGACTCACTCCGATGAACTGCCACTGCCGACCCTGGGTTGCTTCACCAACAGTTATGAAAGAATTCACGTTGCCTCTCTGGGACACGCATCTGAGGATTTACCTGCTGGGTTTTTGTCGGTTTTTTTGTTTGTTTGTTTTGTTTTTCTTTTCAGTGTATTTTCTTTCTCTAAAAAAATTGGCTTATCTTTTACATTTTTATTCTTTAATTTTTAAAGATTATTTTATTTCATGAAAATGGGTGTCTTGCCTACATGTATGTCTGTGTACCACACGTAACCCTGGTATCCACGGAGGCCAGAACGGGTGTCAGATCTCATAGAACTGAAATTACAAACAGTTGCCATGTAGGTACTGGGACTTGAAACAAGGTCCCCTGGAAGAGCAGCCAGCTCTCTTAACCCCTGAGCCATCACCTCTCCAGTCCTCGAGATCTTATTTTTGTCTTTAATTATGTGTCTATGTGTGTTAGTGTGTACTGAGCGCAGTACCTAAGGAGGTCAGAAGGGGGCATCAGATCCTATTGTGAGCTTCCTGACATGGGTGCTGGGAACCAAACTGCAAGACTGCTGGGCCTTTTCTCCAACCCCAGCACTTTTTCGTTATTGAATCTTTTCATCTAGATTCCAGTCTGATAAATACTCCTATCCCTGAGTGTGATGGCTTGAAATAAAAAGGGGGTGACACTATTGGAGGTGTGGCTTTGTCAGAGGAAATGTGTCACTGTGGGGGTGGGCTTTGAGTTCTATATTGAAGCTACTCCCAGTGTCACAAACCATTTCCTGTTGCCTACAAAGTATAGACTCTCAGCTACTTCTCCAGCATCACATCTGCCTGCATGCTTCCAGGTCTCACCATTATGATAATGGACTGAACTTCTGAACTGTAAACGGGCCACCAATGATTAAATGCTTTCTTTATAAGATTGTTGTGAGGCCACCCTGGTCTACAGAGTGAGTTCCAGGACAGCCTCCAAAACAATACAGAGAAACCCTGTCTCAAAAAAAAAAAAAAAAAAAAAAAAAAAAAAAAAAAAGAGTTGTTGTGGTCATGATGTCTCTTAGCAGCAATAGACACCCAAACTGAAACACTGGGCCTTTGGCTCCCCATT